AATATATGCATATAGGATGTTCAAATTTAAAATTTGTAAATTTGACAAATACTTAAATACACTTAAATACAGTACTTAAATATAAAATTATTGAAATTTGAATTTGCAAAAGAATTTGTAATTTTTTGTGCGATTGGCCAAAAATGGAAATTACAATTGACCAATTAATTTGGCAAATTGCCTAACACAACTACTTGTATTTGGAAAATTGTTATATTGATAGCTAGTAGCAACCAACTAGGAATATTGTAATTTTTGGTTAGCAACATGAATGGTTTCAGATGCTTCCATCAAAACTTTTTCAGTTTTGGACCGATCTCAGTCGGATTTGTTTTAAATGACGCACAACCGATTTCTGCATGATCAAATCAGGTTTTATGCATATAGTCCTTTGACAGAAGTGTCTTAAATTTTGATTGTAAAGTTTCAAATCCAAATTTGAGAGCGAAGAATAAAACTTTTCTATCGGGCATATTGAAAAACCACATCTCCTAATTCTCCTCTGCACGATTGCTCTTTACGCCATTTGCGTAGGATTAACCGTTTAGGCTCTAGCCTCGCTGACAGTTTCAAAGGGTGTATACGAAAGCATACCTAGGCTTCGCCGTAACCATGGTGACGCTTTTTTGCGGGCACCCATTGTTACTTTTGCCTCACCTTAGAAAAATAGCTTTAAAATCTGTGGAATATCAGCTCTTGACGTTGGGAAAGTATCCAATTCTCGGCGTCCAACTTATCGGCTACTTTCCCCTGTCAGTCACACAATATCCAGTTACTTTACCCACTGATAAGTCGAAATCAATAATTTCTTCGGAAACACTGAAAGCTTTGAAATTTCGTTGGCTCGGTTTTCCATTCTTGTCCCAATTCATTTTTGTCCTGTTTTTAATTTTGGCTTCGCTAACTTCGATGGAACCAAGTTACAAAAAAGCAAATATGGATCGATACAGTAATTTGTCCTCTGACTTCGTCATCATCACCGCGGTTTCCATGTGTTGCACGGGAAACGCAGTAGTAAATCGCGTCTACGGTTTGTTAACCGTCCGGAAGACGCTTAAGGTGTGGCAAGTTCATTGCCATCTGCTTCAGCAGGTCCATAGAATTTGGAATGATGAGGGTAATCTGACAAACATACATATTTACCTTTTGACATTTATTAATTTGATTCAGAATTATTCGTTTGTTTGTTCATTATTCAATAAATTGGCGAGTAATGAGTTAATAATTTTTTCCAAAATTTTGAATTGATGAATACAAATATATTGAATATATAAATATTGAACCATTTTATATTACTGAAGAATGGATGAATAATTGTATTCATTTTTCACCTTATGCTTAATGCGTGGGGTACATTGAGAAATCTTTCTAATAAGGTGAACTTAATATAAAATGAATGAAAAATGAATGATGAGCAAATATTTATGTATTTTTAACTTTTGAATAAAAGAATAATGATTGAATATTTTTTTCCAATTTTAAAATTGAATAAAAAAATATTTTTTAAACAGGTATACTGACAAAACTAAAAGAATCTGCTAGACGGCACTTCTTCCGTTCGGGCTTGCTCCTTCTCTTACCAGGAATAATGATTGCGTTGAGCGACTACATTTTTGTCAATTTGCTCTCAATTTCTAAAAAGAATATAATCGGAGAGATGGTCCAACGCCGCGATATCCTTTTACTGATGGGAGCCCTGTTTTGGCTGTATTTTTCATATGCAAACATTTTTCTAAGTGGCTGGATAACCTTTTACATTAAGCTGTACAATCTCGTACTTTGCGGCATTTTGCGAAACATTAAAAACTTTGAAGGTATGTATATACACACTCTCGGTATCTAAATTTTAGCATATTAGTAGCAAATTTTTACGGTTAGGAATAATTTGAATACCAAACGGTAGCAACTAGATCAATGAGAAACTAATTCCTACCTACGTGACTATACCGGAATTCTAACAGTGTAATGTTAAAAATGCGGTGGGGTCAGGTAAATATGTGTATACCCCGTATTGGTAATGATTTGGTAATAACTTCTTACCAATTGGTAGTAGTGTGTTTCTGAGTGATCAATTTTGCATAACCACAACGTTGTTAAACAGTAATCCCCATTATTACCGCAGAGTCAAATATGTACTCCGGTCAAATGATTTAACACCAGTTTTCTAAGAGTGTAACGATGCCACAGATGCGAAGATACTGGACGAAGTTTCCTCAGTGTATGACGTTCTCATCGAATTGGTCTCAGTTTTCAACGACTCGTTGGGTGCCCGATTGTTTGTCGAGGTTGCCGTTAACATCGCCTGGACGTTGGGCTGCACCTATTTTTCATTCGTTTGCTGGAAGATTGACGAACTTGGGGGGACTTGTACAAACATGTTGGCAGCGTTTCTGGCCATGCGGACCCTTTATATTTATGGGAATGAGTGTGAAAACTTGGAACAAAGTCGGGTAGAATTAGTAACGAAATTGAGTCAGATTGGGGCTCATAATTTCGATGAAGTTCAGGATAAAAAGGTTCACAAAATAAATATGATATGCTAGACCTCCATTTACATGGAGGTCTCGCAGCGTATATGCTTTCCAATTTTGACCAAATTATTTAGTCAATCAACTAAAAATTAAATTAATATGAAATTGGCAAAAAGACGATTTCCATATGCTCAGGTTTGGTAGAGAAATTTGCTTCCGAGGAAGAGAAAGCGTGCCATAAAGTAGACAAATTTTACACTTGCCAAATTTACTGCCGATTTTCACCTCCTTGGATGAAAATATGTACCACAGCATTGTAAGGTCGTATCTTTTGCTAATTTTATGCTAATTTAATTTGTGATCGATTGACGCTAATTTGGTCAAAATAGGAGACCTCCATTGTTTACATAATTCCTAATAAAATTGAAAATATTTCAGGTGCAATGTCTGACCCGAAAAGTGATCAATTGTAAATTGTGGATAAATCCGGGAAACTTCTTTGTCCTCAATCGAAGCTTTGTACTATCGGTAGGCTAAAGAAGTTAAAAAATCTAGTTTTCGGGACGAATGAATTTAATGTCTTCAATATTTAGATCTTATCCGTATTGATGACCATACTAATTGTGATGGCACAATTCCGAGATTCTGACGAATTAAACGGACTCTCTGGTGCGGAGGGAGATTTCTGCAATTGTTCCAATTTCACGTCATTGGTGCGTATGGCATCCCTTTCCCAATTATTTATTATAAAATTTATATATTTTAGCGTCAATGGTGCAGAAAAATCGAACAAATAGAACAGATTTTTGGGGGGAAATAGATGGTCCAATTGTTACGCCTCATTGATTTTTGGGGGTAAATAAAGGGCCCAATTGTTACGCATCATTTTTAATAACCAATTACTCGGTACTTATTCCATAATTACAGTCCTATCTCGATGTACTTGCACAATTAATTCGCACCATTTACGCCACGGATTATTCGATACCAATGGTGCGCCGAACTTATCCAATAATGGTCAAGGGGATTTTTAATTAGCATCAATTGATGCAAAAAACTCGTGAACACACAGACAGACGGACGGACGGACGGACAAGAGGAATTCAATAGCTCTCATGCTACGCAGGGTGAGCTAATACGGGGCCGCGGGTACATTTCATCGGTAAGAATAGTATTTATAAATATATGTGAGTTATACGTAGTCGTTGTTTTTTTTATTGTTGAATCATAAAATAAATTATATTGCCTTGTATCACAAACAAAGCTTCGACTGGTAAAAACTAAATTAGCCAGGGCAGTGGGACAAGGCACTGTCACCACCCAAAATAGGTGGGAAATGGTAAAAATGGCAAGTCGGTAGGCGTAAAAATACATACATATGTATGTACATATCTGATCTTGTGAGGGATAATCATCTTTAAATCTATTGTACATATTGCTTACCACCCTATATAGGATGGTAAGACTACAAATATTCGTAGTGTACATATATGTACCCAAATTATGTATTACGTATGTATATAATCTATCACAATCGAACATGGTCTATCTAAAATTAGGAAAGAAATGCGTCACGAAACTGGAATCTTGTGCTCCTGCATATTTTATTTCCGCCTCCGCAGCAAGCAGACGATCACTATTTGCGTCGTTGGTATGCCAATCAATTCGCAGACAATACAAGCTCTTAAATTTATTTACATTGATTTATTCAACATCATGTGAAAATTCTACGACTTCCAAGAATTCCGTGTTGCAATGACCATCCTTATTACGGGATGAAACCCATTTATGCTTTTGCTGTGTCTGTCCGTCCACACAATGATACATAGGTATTAGCAGGTCTAATTAGAAAATGGCCCGAGTAGAAATCTCTGTGTCGACTTCTGCAGAAATCGACAAAACCCCTATGCATGTTGTATTATGCATAATTTTTTTGAATAATCCTGCAGAAAATTTGTGTCGCTATTATTATCCAGAACCACATGTGCATAATTCTGCATAATTCTGCATAGGTTTCTTCAGAAATCTCTATTCATAAAGCTTTTCTGCAGAATATTGGGCCAATTTTCTGCAGAATATTGGGCCAATTTTCTGCAGAATATTGGGCCAATTTTCTGCAGGAAATTTGTATAAATTTTTACTCGGGGGATGTCGTCGGGCCCATGCTTAGTCTGGGCGTGGTTGCTTAGATTCGTAGATTGTTATTCCATTTCTAGATATGGTATTCAGAAGGTGGTCCACATTTGATAAGGCTACATATTTTGATAAATCATTTTCACGTTTCCGCCCGAAGACATAGCGTATGTATTGGACAGGATAGAAACAATTTTTGAGGGTGCAGTGACCTCACACGGTTAAGGTAATGGGGATAATGAGCGTAAAATTCTCACATGGTTTCACTGCTTTTTAACCTTTTGTTCGTGACTGTAATTTACTGCTAATAATTTTTGTATGATCTTGCATATTCATATATGTATTATTTATTATGTAACTCTGATCTAATCTTCTCGTAAGAATGGACTCGCACAGTTCTCATTGACATCTCACACCTTGCACAGAACGTTCAGTAATTCTTTTTACATATCGCAAAAAAGCGTCCACATCATTCATATCATGGCAAAAAAAGCTTCTAAACTCGCCGGGAGCTTTATCATTTTGATTCAGCTATTCCTATTAATATTCCCCTACACGTCATGCGAGGAACTTAAAGAGGACATGTTTCCCTACGGCGTGGAAAATGGAGATATAAGAATGTTCGAAACTGACGACGGGTTTGACGTGGCTCCCCTGATATTTGGAAATTTTAAATTCTTTAACAACACTTATAACCGCGTATTTATCAGCAACAATGGAATCTTGTCGTTTGTAAATGGTAAGATTTCAGAATTATTTAGTGCACTCTTAAAAATAGTCGTACCACTTTGAAAAACAAATGCACTTTAAACTTTGCATTAAGTAAACTACCTAGACTAAATTCAGAGTAAATTTTGTTTTTCATCAAATTAACGCTACCCTGAATTTAAATAATATATTTAGTTCATTTAACACAGAATTCAAAGTACCTAAGTGCATTTACTCATTATTTTTAAGAGAGTATCTTGGTGCCAAAATCTTATTATATCTCTCTTTAAATAATTAAATAATAGGAATTGGCCAATATACGCCCACCTGTGGGCCACTCCTCAACACCCCCATCGTCATGGGCTACTGGGCTGACGCCATCACCACTGGGGGTAACATGGGGTCCGTCTACTACCGCGAATCCATCAACAAAACCATCCTCGCCAAAGCAGCTGACGAAATCACGGCGGCATTTCCCTCCATCCCAAACCCTGACCTGACTTGGACCTTTGTAACGACTTATGACAACGTGGGGTTTTACGGTGCTCGAAACACGACAAATTGTACCGGGGTAAATTTTCGAAACACGTTTCAAATAATCCTCACCACCGACGGGTATCACTCCTTTGTGATCTTGAACTATAACAAAATCACGTGGACGGCGGGAACTGCGTCCGGCGGGAATCAATGCACCGGTCTTGGCGGGAGACCGGCCAAGGCGGGATTCGACTATGGGGATAACACCATGCTATACACGATCGAAGGATCCTGTTACGAATCGATAGTTAATATTAGTCAATCCAGTAATGTAGACTACCCTGGAAAATGGATTTTTAAAGTTGATCAGAAAGTTGATTCCGCCAGTTGTGTGGATTATTCGGATAAAATTAAAATCGCGCCGGTTGCAGTGTCTATGCTGGGGTATTCTGAGATTGTTTTGAGCGGACCTTGCTTCAATAACTATACAAGAGCTGTATGCATATTCCATGATAAAGAACTTATCGAGGTGGTCGGGGTATTTTCTCCCGATAAAAGGAAAGTATTCTGTTTAACGGCCCCCTTTCAAACGTGGGGCATGGTTTCAGTAAGTCTCACTTTAACCCTGGACAACTTTACTGACGTTACGTTTCATGGCTCCATCTACACCACGGCGACACCGAGGGACACACTTTCACTAGATACGAATGCTGATACCACCATTTTCATGAGCTGGGATCCCCTAAGTTTTAGACGGGTTGCGGTCCCTGCCGCTGTCGAAGTTCGAGCACCCGCAATGTTAGAGATTAGTCTCATCAATGTCTATATGACGCCGAGAAACAAAATTATTTACGCAACTCCAATCCAAGTAGGCGATCCTATCGTGAATATTGGGCAGTACGAGGTTAATCTCCCTCTAAACATTACGGCACTGACAAACCTAAGTTCCACATTTTTCATCGCTTTATCACTCAAAAATCCCAACCCTGTCCTTTTCCCGGTAGGGAAATACGTCCTCAGTGAACTGTTACATTCTGGATATGGAAAAACGCTTGCAGATTTGCAGGTCTGGTGCGATAATTGGTTTAAAGATGATCTCGGTCCTCCCAGAATAATTCTCCCCTGTCCGCCATCCCTCCCCCTGGCACAAATGGATGGGAGGTATCAATCCATCCTGTCCAGCGGTGCGGAAGAAATTCCAAATTCTGATGACTTGATTGTCAACAAATTTATTCAAACAATTTCAAATTTTGACGGGTCAGGACAAGAATGTTTTTACAATCAGAAGGGCCAACTCGTTTCCGGCCCTCCATTCGGCGGTAGCGCCAATTTGGTCAGTCCACACTCTTCTTTAGGACCAGTTGGTCACCACGTCGCGGATGTCGCACCTTACCTCATGTGCTGCATATTTGGCAATAGTATGCAAAACTGTAGTTCTTATTATGTAAAACGTCCATCCAACTATGGGCTTGGGTATGTCCCGCCGAGATTTGGGTTCGGTTTTGGCGATCCCCACATTTCCACGGTGGACGGGGTGAGGTACACGTTTAACGGGGTGGGGGAATTTTGGATGGTTTATGGTAGCAGTCAGTTTGGAATGCAGTGCAGAATGGAGCAATTTATTGGTCAAGGTGGTTCCACAAATGCGTCAGTATTTACCGCGTTTGCTTTTAAGGAAGCAAATCGTACGATTCAGGTGGAGTGGAACAGGTTAAAAGAAACTTTTAACGTTTACCTGGACCATGTTTTCGTATCGAGCGAGGTTTTAATTGGGGAAGGTGGTCTGGTCGTGGACGGAGTGTCAATTCACATTGGAAACGGGACAATCCTAGAATTATCGTTTAGTTCGGGTTTCTTCTTCGAAATCAAGTCTGCCCCTGGTGCTGTGAACGCGTTAAGCGTTACGACCGGTGTGTATGGAAACCAGGTTTTAAACAAGGGGTATTCCGGTCTTCTTGGTAGGATTGATGGAAGAACGGAGAATGATTTGACCAGTCGAAATGGGAATTTTATTTCGGTGAATTCTAGTCTAGCGGAAATACACAGGTTCGGAATTTCTTGGGCAACGTTCGAAAATGAGAGTCTGTTTTACTATCAGGATGGAAAAAGTCATGGGTCTTATCAAAATTTGAACTTTACCCCGAATTTCGAAACTCCCCAGATTTCCAACTTGCCTGGAAACGTGGTCGCCATGTGTAACGGGTCGGTTGAATGCTTATACGATTTTGCGTCAACGGGTAGCAAGGATTTTGCAGAAGGGACTAAGGTTGAGGTTAAAATAGAAAAGGTGCTAGATGCAGTTGTAAGGTCTGAACTTAACGATGATAACCCGACCTGTGTTCCATTACCCAATCCGAAGAATGGGTATGTCATTAGTTCGAATATCCAGTTTAACGGGGTGGCAAGATTTTACTGTAATGCGGGGTTTAAACTGGTCGGAAATTCGGTGGTGGCGTGTTCAGTGAAATATGGGAATGATGCTGTTTGGAATGGAACTGCTCCGATTTGTGTGAGAGGAAGTGGACCACCCAAGAAATGTGTGATGGATAAAAACAATCAGAATACGGATGGAAAGGTTTGTTGGTATTAGATACATGTCTAAATACAGATATGTTAGTTAATATATTTGCATCAATGTGTAAATGTATTTTTTTGAAAATCTTCTATGTCTAGTTGAATACATTAATATGTAATTGGATTTGAATTATAAATATAAAGTTGAAATTTAATGCCACGTATAGATATCTCGCGACAAGAAATTTTTGTGTATGCTAGGGTTTAATTTACTGAACAATTAATTGTCATTCTAGTTCAATTCTTTACACACGGATATATTTACATGTATTTATGTATTCGAACAATAAAATCTGCATACTTTTTGTTAGTAAATATGTGATATAAGTATTGCTTGTGCATAAAATAATAAAATTCACTTGCGTTTGCGAGCGAAGTTCATAAAAAATGTGTAAGAAATTAACGATGAATTATTCAAAATTAACAATTTATTTGGTGCATACATCGGAAACAGTGTTTTTATATTGCTAATTAAAACAAAATTGAATACGTGCAAATTGACATTTTTTCAAGTGACAAATAAAACTTTGCAATGTCCTAAGTAGAGTATGTATCACTGTATCGCACTGTATCGCACTCTATGTATCAACCAAATAAATATTTACCACACAAACTGTTATCACTATGTAGTCTATCAATTCACTATTTATAAACAAAGTTTGCATCAATAAAGTTACATGCAATGCCGAATCTACACCGAGTGATATATTATCTACAGTCAATTTTTAATACATTTGGTTTGACACGATTAAACTTCTTGGATTTTCTTAACCGCCGGTTGCTAATTTTGCAATTACAATTAAGCAAGGCAAGACAATTTGTACGAGTCGGTTGAAGTAGCATTCTCCATTCATACTTGTATCCCTCAATCAGAAAAGAAATTATCGCCAAACAAATCAGACCGGCAGAGATCATAAAAATCGTTATAATTCCTCCCCCCATTGTCAACGGGGCTACGGTGGGGATCGTATCGTTTGAAACCGGCTCCCTCCCAACCCACATGTTCCTAGCCATTTCCATCTTTAATCGCGAATAAATACCGGAGGACACCAGCGCCTGAAAATTTCTCTGTACAGCAGACACACTACTTCTCTCTGAACTTCGTCCACCACCTTGAAACGTCCACCCAAACCAGGTCGGGTCCAAGAGACGCTGCCCAGAATGGAATTGCTTGGATGGATATTTTTTAGTTAGAAAGGCCATCTCACCCTGTAGTATTTCTAGGGTTGCAATGAAGACACTTTTTATTTCACAGTTTACAACATCTCGTTCAACCAGGGCTTGTAGCTCGGTTGTGGAATAATTTATCCTTGTTTGATCGATCCTGCTGGGAAATACGTTATGAATTGGATTCATAAGAAGCAGAGTCAGAATGTTCTCTTTCCCAAATGGAATCTGAGGATTTTTCATGGAGATTAGTTGTCGAAGGCGATAATTTTGGTATTGTGCGAACACCATATAACGCCATAAGTAAGTGCGTCTAGATATAAAGACTTGCATTCGAGGGGACAACATTCTGTAACACTCATCTAATGCAAAAGGATTTATAAAAGTTGGCATTGGATTATAGAAAATGTTCATCTTGCCCCAATAAGCTTTATAATTTTCAGACAGAATTTTCTGTCAAACTAGAAATATCCGCGGGCAAGGCGGGTTTATCCAATATGTGTCTATTTTGACAAATAAGGTCCTCAAACGTTTGAGATCGAGTTTGTTTAAGCGGTGCATTCAATTCTGAAATCATTAGCCCGCTATAACATTCTGTAATTCAGCCCAAATTCGGATTTTTAAAAACGCTGTAACTTTTCGAATTTTAATACGATTTCAAAAAATAAACCCAATTTGTGTTCAGAATTACATCCCTGAAAATATAAAAAATCATTTAAAAAAACTTTTCATTTTCAAAAAAATATCGTTTTTTAGATTTATAAAAATTCGGAAATAGTATGAAAATATTAAATTTTTACAATTTTTAAAAATGAACTTTAGTATTTTCAGGGATGTAATTCTGAACACAAATTGGGTTTATTTTTTTTTAATCGTTAAAATTCGAAAAGTTACAGCGTTTTTAAAAATACGAATTTTGGCTGAAATTTTTTTTGAAAATTACGCCAAGGGCGTAAACATGCACATTCAGGAAAACGAAAAAATACTGGTACACTTATTTTTGAGCGTGAACAATTTAAAATTAGTCCGGTGGATATCGGCGATAACCACCTCACACCTTCTCATTGTAAGTATTTATTTTTTAATTTATACTTCCATTCTTTTTATGAGCATGGTCGACAATATGTTTGATCATTTGGTTGCAAAGCCAGTCTAGATTATATACAAACTTCGACAAATCGTGTTATGAATGCTTACATCTAAAAGCGTTACGTTAATTAAATGGCTTTCAACAAAATTAATATTTACGTAAAGCAGTTTCATGATTTTGAGCTTTTATCATTTATGTATTAAAAACAGACAGGAATCTTTGACGTATGTAACCCAACCAAAAATACATTTCCCAACCCACGATTATTTTGATGGAAACAAATTTTAATTTTTCCAAAATTATATTCAGACTAGCCTATAAGCCCGTCCTAAAGACGGGCCACAAGAAACTTTTCAACGCTGCTAAGGAATTTTCTCGTCTTGCAATGAAATTTTGTCGACTTGCTAAGGAATTTTCTTGAAGTTGCTAGGCAAATTTTTTGATGTTGTCAAGGAAATTTTTTATGTAGCCAAGGAAATTTTTTATGTTGCCAAGGAAATTATGTTGTTAAGGAATTTTTTTAACGTTGCTAAGGAACTTTTTTATGTTGCTAAGGACATTTTTTATGTTGCTAAGGACATTTTTTATGTTGCTAAGGAAATTTTTTTAACGTTGCTAAGGAATTTTTTTATGTTGCTAAGGAAATTTCCATAATCCAAATGATAATGATAATCATAATCATAATGATAATCATAATGATAATCATAATCATAAATTATAATTATGATTCATAATCATAATCATAAATTATAATTATGATTCATAATTATAATCATAATCATAATCATAATTCGTATCTGTTCCCTGATTGGTAGAGCAGGAAAATCAACACCCAATCAGAATGCAGGAATGTCAGGGAAAATTTCACGGGACGGACTTTTCGAAATTACAATATATATGCAACAAAATCTTAGTCACAATCATAAATAGTCATCTTCGTAATTATCCGTCGAAGCCACATGTAAATATACAATTGGATCACAGAAATAATTCGATAGCAAAATTTCCTAGAGGGTGCATAAACCATTTCCCAATTCGCTTATACCATAAACTACAAATAAATAAAATTCATGCGTTCCTGGCTGCAATTGTTAAGAATCAATTTTATTATTACGGTCTAGGTAGAGTTGGGTAAAATTTACCCAAACTTGAGTTACACATAGGATCATCCTATTAGGATGACACAACAATTGGTGCAATTTATTACACCAGGAGAAAATTTTTCAGAAATTTATATAAAGTATGTATGTATGTATGTATGTATGTCTTTATTGCATAAATGGCCAGTAGCCTTTGCAAATCACAAATTTTCATTATTTACAAGATTTGAGAATATTACATTGAATTGGTTTTAAAGGTAGTCAGAACAGAGATCAAAATATTTGGAGACATTGATCCAGAATAAAAATATATTGGAATAAAATTTCTTGTCATTTTGTGTGTAATTAAGCAGATTGATTAGTTTTTCGAGTGGTTCACAGTTGTTATCGGTAATATAATTGTTAATGAAGATGAGACGTTCATTGGTTAAAGGACGACATTCAAACATGTAATGTTGGACGCTGTTTGGAGTGTGAGATGTGCACAAGGGACATCTTGTTTCAAGTTTTATGTAGTGGGGACCAATTTTAATGCTGTAGCGGTTAAGCCTAAGTTGGGCAAGTAGTTGGACCATGTGTACAGGTAGATTGAGGTTGAGGTAGTTGGGCCTTGACCCGTCAGTTTGTAGGTATTGGTAGAAGGGAATAAATGATGAGTTTCTGCACCTCTCGAGGTCATGATTGAGAAGTTTAGTTGCATAATTAGCGATCATGGAGTTTCGCGCAGCAGCTATAATAAAATAAGAGAGGAGATCTTGGGTGTCGATGTTTGATAATTCTTGGATAGTTGTAATTATCTTAGTTGGAAATTTATATAAAGTGTGAATAAATAATTATGTAATTATCTGGTTTGGAAACCATGTGAAAAATAATTATGCAATTATAATATTAACCTTACTTAAAGTTTTATATCTCTCATTTATGCACTCAATTATGTATATTGCATTCGTGAAAAAAAATTGTTTAATTATTGCTTTACGAAAAATGGCAATGTCGCAAAGTTTTTTCTTAGCAACTTCCGCAGCTCCCACAGCTTCCGCAACTTCCACAACCTCCCTCCAATGAAAATAGATGGAAGTGCATGTATGTATTTATTTAGCCTCGTAAATATAAGTATACATTTTTACTATAAATGGCTCAAAAATAAGAATAGAATTACGGTTGATGCCGTATCATCTTCCTCATCCACATCCTTTCCGTACGTGTGATAGATATAAATGGCATGAACAAGTCCGGGCAGGTAAAATAGTAACGTAAGAAGTAGATTTATCAGGGCAAAGACGTATACTTTAGAGGATTGTTTTTTCTTTAATTCTTCGCCATTGAGAGATTCACTTGGTTGTATGACTTTCTCCTTATCGGTGAAAAGCAGTACAGAAATTGGTGGAAGTAAAAATATCACGCAACAAGTGCAGCAACAATCGAATCGGCAACAATTTTTCCGACAATCCATTTTAAATATGGCAAAGTTATGGAGACTATAATAATTTTTTGACGATTGCATACAAAAGCATGTGCGTTGGTATTGGCTTCAGCTGACTATTCTGTTAAATGAAACGTGTACCAGATATGGTCCCTTTTGGGTTTCGTTACTTATTGATAAGCCAGATAATTACATAGTTATCGCTGTAATTGCCCTGAATCGACCAAAGAGCTGAGTCATGAACAAGTTCCTTATCTGTTATTCAGTTGGACTGATAAGTGTAGATATGTATATGTAGGCATAGGTATGTAGCCTAATTTTACACAATTTTGGTACAGTTTGCCTCAATATTACGTGTTCAGCTTGAGCAAACTTTGTATGCATAAATGGTTTAGTCTTTAGCACATGTGCATTTAAATATATTTATATACTTATTTGTGTATGCACAAAGGTACGTATGCATATGTTTTATATATTTGCTTACACTGATGAAAGTTATTCATAATTTATTACTTATAAGCAAACAAGCATTATTCAGAATTATCGAAAATGTGTCCTCCAAAAATACAAGATTTACCCAAACCTTTATGCATTATTAACTTAATAAT